TCATTAATGGAATGCCTTCGGACGAAAGGTTATTTCGCACGGTAAGATTTGTTCCAAAACCTATTACTTTGAGCAAAAAGAATCAGGCTTCTGGCCTAATAAAGGAAAATATTTTTAAACTTTTGCATAAAATAAATAATCCTGACAAGAAAATAAGTCTTTCTCTCTGTCTTAATTAATAGATTATTTTTTATTTTGTAGAGCTGAAACCACGTATCGCAGAAATCCTCTTAGCTACAAATCATTATTTTATCCCTTATTTACTCTTCACCCAGTGTTTATGAAACGACTTTCTCACTACCTTCTCTTTCAGCCTGCGTTTCACTTCACTCTCCCTGCTCGCTATTTTCCTATTAGTCGCTCTTTGCCTCGGAGATCCATTGTCCTCTTCGCCTCTTCCATCGGCCGGTTTATCTTCACATTTTCGGCCAACTGATCCATCTTTGCCCGGGCTTGCTTCATCAGACACTGGAGTCACCCTATGGTCTAATATTTTGCCTGAACTCAGCTTACCTGAAAAGCATATAGTCAATTCAAGCAAGCCTGCTACAAAATCTTCAAAGTCATTTTCTACACCGCTGCCATTCACATTTCGAGAATTTAGTGGGCTCAGTCTTGGATCCAGTCATACACTCGTCTCCATCACGATCTGGCTGCCCAAGTCTCTGCTTACCAAATATCAAGCCGCTATTGATGAGCTGCAGCGTTACAAACAGATATCAACGAATAGTGGGCTATTTCCGTTATCTTTAGCCGACTTTCGACACGGCCGGGTCGGGAGCGCTTACCCAGCGTCTGGCCCCTCGGGCTTGGCTAGAAATTTCCCATTGCAGAATGGCTCTTCAGCAGATAAAATGGCCAAAAGCTCAACAACGATACAAACTGACACTCAGGTTGCACCCAGGTCGCTGATCCTTTGGTTGAACCGAACCAGTCGTACCGATGTTTTCTTGGCTTCCACGATACCTAGAAGCTACGTCCAGATCTATGGTGCGTCTAAACGTCTATTTCCTGATTTTAGCGCATGGTGTAAATTTTTCAGATCAACAAATTTCTTATAACATGTTATCTCGCATATCACTTTAATGAAGACTATTCAAGAAAATTAAGCGCCTGTAGGTATTCCAGATTCTACTTCTTTCCTGTTGTGCTGATAAACCAGTCAATGATGAATTTAATAAATTTATATATATACATATGCATTTAATTGAATGCGTTTAATTACGCATAAGTCCATTTTAATTTGGTACTGTCAGCATTTTCGATCTTTCCTAGTTCGAGCAATGGAATTTAGGATTAAGAAGCAGTAACAACCTGTCGATTTGCCTTGCGTGATAATTACCTATTTTAAGAAAAAGTCGGACCTTCTTAACTTACCTCATTTCCAATTTAATTTTAACTACTTCGCCATCGTGTGTTCGAGACTAAATTTTACATGATACTGATTTATATAGTTACCGAAATTTTTATTTCGAGGGTATCAGGAGGCTGTTTGCTGTTAAGGCATATCATTTTAAACTTGTATGGCTGGTAGCTAATCTTTTTATGGTGGCTTTTAGAGAAAAAAATGATTGCTGCATTGGCAAAACCCTTTTATGCTTAATTCATATTTTTTCTATAGCAAATGGTCTGGGTTCTTTTGGCACTTTAATTTTCATATCCAGGGTAAGATGAGGCCAAAATTAAAGTCCAACTTGGTTAAGATCATTCTTTTAGCATGCATGCAAAGATATACTTTAATGCAGAAATCGAGCATTTTAAATTCATCTTGGGCATAATCACTATTATTATAACTGGAAGTCAGTCGAATATGGTTCACTTTTTGTAGGCTTGAGGCAAAACTGTTATTAACTATATAAAATTAAAAGGCTCATTTAAACTAACTTTACATAAGCAAGTATGAAAATGTACTAGTGGAGATGTGCTACGGGCATATGCGATAGGCGAATGCACTAGGAGAGAAAGAGAAATACCAAAACTGTTTAGCAGACAATTGGTCAAAGCATCGACTTCATCTGTCTCTTTGACGAATTGCAGCTTGATGCTAAGAATGGTAAGGCCGACTACGATTCCGGTGAAATGTCTGGGAATGTAACATCTATGACTTGAAATTTTTATGCACACTAGGCTCCGGACAAGGTATGTTCCTCTAGATCGCCCTGACAACATGGCGAAGTTCTGAAAACAGGATCAAACAACTTTTATACAACCAAAGGAGACCGCGACCTTACTAAAGACTACACAATTTTGGCCTTAATACCTTCATAAAAAATTTAATTTGTATTAAAATGAATATCATATAGGATTCCTCAAAAACCTGTTCCTCCTATTTTGTCAGTGATTTGATGAACCGTTACTTGTGTGTCACTAGGTTAGTAGATGAAAGTTGAATTTCTCATGTGGAAATTTGAATAAGGCTTTACTATGCCATTGAATTTAAATTCGTCTTGTTATCAAAAAGGTTTCCTCATCTTGCCTAACCTGCGGTTGTGTCCTTGCTTGAGCCTCATTACTCCCAACAGGACAGGCTATAAGTGGAAAGCCTACTTGAAAATGAAAAATGGTAGGGTCTGACTTACCTTAAATTCCCTTCTGCCCTTTGGCCCGATGGCATGTTTTGCTTTTTGGCGGCGTGATGCCGTTACCTCTTAACGCACACCACCCCGTTTTTATTCTCGTTAGGGGTGTTGATTAGAAGTAGACAAAGTCAAGATGGAAGTCAATCCTGAATGAAAATCTTTTGGGATGCAAGGCTAAATAAATTGCATTGGTGTCGTAAGGCCTTCTATTTATTTCAGTTTGTGAAAATCAGTTGTCAGCCCTACGTTGCATACGTGACTCATGTTCTGATACTTTCGAAACATACCCATGATGATTTTATACTCTGATATCCGAAGGCTAAATTTTTTTGGGTATTAAAATGGGTTAACCTTGTTTTGCTAACTTGGTCTTGTTGTCAGGGTGACTTAGTTAGACTCACTTTGTCCGATGTCCTCTGCTATAGTAGTTATCATAATTCCC